ATTTCTGGACGAAGTGCAGGTGCTGGTGGTAGTCGATTCATGAGTTTCTTGAAGTGGTCGGCCCATCGTTTCCTTTGTTCCTCTTCTTTCGTAATTAAATTTCCGTCATCATCTGTCATTGGTTTCATGTGTGTTGATTACCTCTTCCCAGATAGCAACCTGGTTATTTGATACAATGTTGTCAAGTCTCTCCTACCAGCCGGCAGCCTGTTCTGCTTCACTTGCCAGTGTGTCGTAGAAGTGTCTTTTGTCCTTCCGCGCACTCTTCTTCAACTTTTGTCCAGTGTAGTGTTGTATAGGTTGTGTTCAGTTCCTCTTTTTGTTGTGCACCCTTGCACTGGTTTATCTTCTGCTTCACCATCCTCCTCTCTCTTCTCTATCAGCTTCCATGTCCGTGGAGAACCGTTCCTTGTCTTCTTTCTTCTTCCTTCCAAATACGCTTATGCAGGTTTCTTCCCACATCTCTTTCAAAGACTTTCAGTGTTCTTCCACACAGGTTTCTTCAAGGATGTTGCTTAATGTCTCCCACCTTTTCCTGATCGCTGATTTGAAGATGTCCTTTGTAGTTTGTCCTTCAGTTTCCGATTGTTGAACTTCAACTGTGGTCTATCACCGGTTTCTTTGAACTGGAGGCTTTCGACTTGAATTTGAAGGTTTCGTGCACTAGATAGTGGGTGGTGTGAACCTACATCTGCTCCCCATCTTGACCTTGTGTCAAGTAGGCTGGCTGTGCCTCCACTTTCTTCAGATTGTGATGAAGTCGATCTGATTTTAAGTGTAGTATGTCCATCTGGTGAGATCAAGTCCATGTCGCTTTGTGGATATCCTTGTGCTTGAACACATTGCCTCCAATCACCAAGTCGTTGAATGCGCGAAAATCTGCAAACAGTTCTCCATTCTCGTTCATTTCACCCAGTGCCTCTCGACCCATAACTGGTTCTCTTCCTGTGTTGTCCACTCCCAGTTTATCACTTATGTCACCCATTAGAATTTTGATGTCGCCAACTCAGGTGGGGTCTTGTCCAGTACTGATCGCAGTTGGCTGTAGAATTCCTCCTTTTTCTCTTGCTCTGCATTATTTGTAGGTGCATGGTATTGTATGATTGTGACCTTCCTTCCTTCCTTTTGATTTGAATCTTGCTGCCATGATCTTGCAGGAGATTAGTTCCCAATGCATGAGAGCCTTCGATGCTGTTGGGGACATCATGACAGCCACTCGAAAACTCAGTGTGCTCGTGATTGTTGTCTGGTTGACAATATCGGAGTAGATTATTGACCCTCCTTTCCAGTTGACAGTTTGGAGAGTCCACTCCCATTCCATTTGCTTTCGCAAATTCCTAGCACTACAGTGCGATACCATCTCCCTTGCAATCTGGGCAGCCTTGCTGGGTTCAAACATGGTGCAGACATTCGATGTCTCCACATTTACTTTCGCTTCCATCGAGAGAATAGAAGATACATCGGCCAGTTGGCTTTTCGAAGGCTTTCACCAACCGGCGTCATTTTGTCCCTGCTGATTTCAGCAAGGAATAAGTTTGTTTTTCTTTTTTATATTTTTTCTGTGCTTTGAAGTTTCTTTAGCGGTTAGATTTGTTTTACAGGGTAGGGTTGCTAGCCCTATGCCCAACCTTCCCTCATTACCCGGGCTTAGGACAGCCTAGTCACTCATCTAAAATCTCACGCTCAAGACTATCTACAGGGTAAGCACTAGACAACAACACATGTTAACTCAACGCGGAGATATTATGGAGTCTTATCCAGGAAACGTAATAACTGTTAAAAACTTTTTATGAAACGTTTGCTATGAATATAGTCAGATTCCTAAATAAGTAGTCATAGATGATATAAGGTTGCATATGTGTCCAAATGACGTGGAATTCTCATCTCTCTTCCCACTGAAATTCCCTTAATTTTGAAAATTAGCATTTCATTTTAACAACGTGATATAATAATTGGGAGCCAAATTCTAAGTGGGATAAAACACTTACAGTTATGCGGTTAAAATAAAAATGGTCAGTTTCATTTTTGTGTGCAGCGAAATAAACAGTACTTTGAATTTAATAGCAAAGATGAGATATCAGTTTAAAGACAGCACCATAAATTGAAATCAGTCAAACACCTAAATTTTCTCCAGGTATCAAGAAATACACATCTAAGAAGGGAAGACTCCTCATAATGAATAATTATAGTAAAAATAACAGCCATACTCATAGTTTCTCATTTCTATCATTCTCACAAATCTCCTATCTCTTGTGTAAATAATAAGAATAACATCTGACAGAAATTTAATTAAATCGATAAACGATGAAAAATAATTTTAATTGTCTTTAAAAAGATATATTTATCCAGTCATTTATAGATTTTATTTGCCAGCTAAGTACTCAAAAAAGATGTTTGCATTTTTTTACTAACTTAACAAACCTGTACCATCATAACTTGTAATCAGAAAAATAAATTTTGAGCTTTGTAAGTAATTAAACAAGAAGCTGTTTAATGATTATTTCAACATAAGTGTATGTGTGTACACTTGCATGCGTAAAGAGACTGGTAAGATTTACGTGGTAGTCAGAGAAATATTCCGTGAATAATTCCCACGACTCTACAATGAGAAGTGTATTATTTCCTATACTTCAGGATGCATTTTAACAGTTTGATTAAAAATAATTAAATTTAAGCCTTACTTTAATTCATATCTTAGAACATGCATTAACATACAGGCTCTTTACAATAAAAATGTGGGCGTACTTGTAACTAAGCAAAAACTGGAGCATTTATAAGTATTTTGAATTTTTTAAAGTGTCTTTATTAGTTCGAAATTCTAAGGAAACTGCTTTTTTCAAGTGGGAGACTATGAAGGTCACCCTAACAACTCTCAAAACAACTAGTCAGACTGAGGTATTTCGGTTGAGAAGACAATTTTTCGCAGAATAGGGAAACGTGATTGGTTGTTTACCCAGTTGCTAGGGTGGCCTTTAAAGTCATTCCCACTTGCAACTGTACTCCTACTTCTTACTAATGTTTTTACTTCACTGTCACAATAACAATGGCGGTACTGTCATTGGAATTCTTATTTTGGTTGGTGAAATCTCGTTTACGACACCAAAATATAATGCAAAATTTTCAGCCCTACTTCAGTGTGGTTATCAACTTCCTTGTTGCTATTTTCTAATTCTGAAACTAATTTTAAGATATTGAAAACGGTCTTACTTTCATTCCCTGATGATCATCCCTAATTTACAAGTCCTTTTTCCTGTTTCCATTGTACTTAAATGTATTATTCCAGGAGCCCTTCATCACTTCTAGGAAAACTGACTACCAGTGGGATTTTATTCTCACTTCAATTGATGATTCACAACGATTTGATGACTGAATTGTAATTTTCATGTCAGGATGCAATAATTTGAAGAAATATTAGAATTGTGAAAACATTAGTCATCTGTTTTGTCCAAATGAATGACTCCCAAGCAGTACGATTGCTTCAGAGTTCCAGATCGGTGGATTGGATCTCTGGAATCCAACACAGTGGTTGAATAATGATGCTTCCTGCACAAGACCTGATGATCCTACACTCGATCTCAGCTGGTGTTTTAGATGTGCTTTACTGAGAAACATTTAGTCAGTAACCAGTAGTTTTCAGTGGTTCTAATAAGTAATGTCAGTTTATGGTAATAACTACCACCCTTTAAGTTGAAAAAACGATAAGTAACTTGAACTTCATGCCGAATTGTATCGCCACTAGTATTTTAAAACTGTTAGCTTTTATGCAAAGTGTTTCAACATATTTAGGTGATATACAACAAAGTTAATGGTACAATGGTCAGTGTTTATTATTCGGACGGGAGACTTGTTTAAAATCAACTTCCACTGTTAATCTTAATGGTAATAAGGATCATTATTCAAGGGGATCTATTTTTCAAAAGATGAACATCTAGCAATTTATAAACATTTCAACAATGAAGACCATAACTGATTGATCAGTACATTGAATATAGGTATTGTTTAGCGAAACATTCATGAAGAGGATTGAAACTAGACGCTTTTTAAAAAACTACAACTATTGTCAAGATCTGTCATGAATAATACCTCTATAGAATTGGTGGATAATTTCACTACTTGTGATAGCCTATGCTTTCAAACTCCCGTACCATTCAAATACAAAACCCATGAGTTTACCTCCCCAGAATAGTATAATAATCTTCTAAACTAGGTTTTTCGTAACAGGTGGATTTAGAAGGAAGTGTGGTGTTCTGGATGCACGTCGTCCGCTCGTGCTACAGTCAAGAAATGCTCCCGTAAAGGTTGTTTTAAACAGAGCCTGAATAACGGTTCAGTCACACAAGTTTAATCAATAGCCACCAAATTCTTAACCAGCTATTTTTTTAAGATAAGTTAATAACTTAGTCAAGATTGTCGAACTTTAGTTTCCATTTTCACTCGCTGATGAACTGATACACTTGTGTGCCAGGTTCTAAGTTGATCTGTGTACAGTACTTTCGACGATACAGTCCGAAAAAGATTAAATGTGATAAGTCCATTTGAAAATACTTATTGAGTTCTTATTCAGTTGAAACTAATATGTGGTTCAATTTTGTCTTTAAACTTGTACCTGTAGCATAACACTGCCCATGTTTACACCAGTTCACTTATTAGTTGGTTTGATAAATTGCTGGCTAGTAAAAGGCGTCCAACTTATTCACAACAAATCATTGTAATAGATGATACGATTCAATAAAACATAACATTTTGATTATCTGAACACCAAGAGTCACTCGACAAGGTGAAACCTATTTGTCTGTTTACACCGAAAGTCGACTCATCAAGTTATATGAATGAACGTCCTACCATACAAAAGCTTTGTGCACTAATTTAATTGTGAAATATTTTTAATCATGTACAAACAGATTTAATTTATTTGTTAAAATACAATGTCCAATTATATGAGTTAATCTGCTTGAATAATGTGTTTTCCTTTTTGTTTTGTTTTCATATTCTTCTTACAGTTACACTCTTCAATGCGTGTTGCCGATTAATTATTTTGTGGAGAAGGTCTATGTCTTTCTTTGGTTTTGGTTTGTAATTCTCTCTGTTATCACTGTATTAAGCACACTGCAATGGGCTTTCAATACACTTGTACCAGTCAGACGAATAGCTTATATAAAACAGTATATACGAGCCATTCGACAACTCTCCAACACAGAGGAAAGAGACTGTACACGATTTGTAAATTATAACCTTGGACCAGATGGTGTCCTGATACTTCAAGTTGTCTCCAGAGTTTCTAGTGACCTAATCGCTCTAGACGTGACTGCCACTCTATGGAGTAATTATAGACATGCTAAAATTACAGGGACAGAGGAAGATATAAACCGATTTTTGGAAAATGTAAATCGTGGGGCAAGTGCAGTGTAGTCTTAATCAGGTCGGGAAATATTTGATGACAAAATACATATTCCTATTTTACCCCACTTCACTCAAATAACTTCATTCTTATCTTTCCTCTATCATAAACATTCAAATTACCCGATGTTTGAAAAATATTCTCATGCACAAGGAGATACACAATTCCAGTCAACCACGAACGGTTTGCTGAGAAGTATTTTCGATGCAATATAACGAAACATACAATATACACCTAGAAGTATTCATTTAACAAGCCTTAATTTTCAAAACAATTACCATATATATATATATATATATATATATACCTAGGTCATGTTTACATTATGACTAATACTAGTACCGATATTACCAATCTTGTTGCAACTAGTGCAGTCACTGAAAATTTTATGAACAAGAATTTACCATTTACATCCTTCGAAAATGAATTTCTCTCCTCTTTATTATTTAAAACAAAAGATAGATTATGAAATTGTTTGAATTTTTATTAAATAGTGTGAACAAAATAACATCATGTTCTGTCATTCTTTTTTTTTCCTTACTTCTTCCTTTTGGTTAACCAAAGTAAAAATAACTTTTTCTTTCAATAGTGAGCGAAATGACTTTCTTGATACTTGCATCATAATAAGAAGGATATACTCGGAATATGGTAATACGAATTGACATTTAATACGTCAAAAAAAAATTAGAGAATACTCTATCAGTTTGGACAGATTAACCAAAGATACGGTCATCATTATCCTGTGTTCTGTTAGTGGAATGATTCTATAAACAACCTTACTTATACACTGAAAACATACGTCGGTAATGAAGTGAGCAAAGGTTATGTAACCTACAGTAGTAACTCTCTACACAAAGATACTAATTATCACTCAGCAGGTCATCTCTTGAGGTTGTTGGCAACAAAAGAATCAAAGGAGGTGGAAGAAAGTAAGCGAAAGCATATCATAAATGAGCTTTCGTAATTTATATAGTAGGAAACGATAACGAATAATTGCTGTTCGGTATTCAGTTACTCAAAGAGATTAGGCCTAAACAGCCAATGCTTTCAGTGAGACTATAATATACTATTCGTTGCGTATATGGGGCTGTGTACCCATCTTATTGTAGTCCGTAGTAGTTTAAGCCAAATACAACTGGCCGGTAAATATTATTGCGTCATGTACTACAAGTAACCAGTGAAGGCGACTCTCTTCTGTTATTTTTGTACGCTCATTAAGTGAACATTTTTATGTGTAAAATACAGTTACAGTGTGATCTGTATGCTTGGGACGTTCCTCAAAGTACCGAAAACCTGTGATCATGCTTCTATCTTTATAACACATAAGTAACGTTGACCAAAGAGTATCAAGAAGTTTTCTTTGTAAATTAAATTAAATCTTATCACAAGTCACTACGGATTATCGTTCCCATGTTTAAATGGTTGCATGGTAGGCAAACAAAGCATCTTCTCATTAAAAAAAGTGCAAAAACGTAAAAATGAACTTTACGAAAGGCTTGAAAAGATCTCGAAATCTAGATCTGATGTGTTGCAGAAATTGGGAAATATATTTTGCATTGTAAAATGGATATGCTGTATTTGTAGAGACTGGTTATCAAAATTAAGCCGGTAACGAATGTCCATTTTTCTGATGGTCAAGCACACTGCTAACATGGCCAGTTAAGATTTTGAAATGAAGGCTTGATACTACAAACGTTGCAGACAAAAATGATATTGAAACGGGATCAAAATGGATTCATTATTCGTACTCAACAGATAGATAAGTATAATAGAGGTGTGGCTGACTACTTTTAATTGAAGCTAGTTCATAACTGTCTAACCGTTCCTGGTGGAAAAGATTATCAAAAGGGCTTGTATATAAGATTAAATTTATACCAATAGCAAAATGGCAACTGTTAACTCTTGCAATCAGAAATTCTACAAGCTTAATTTTACTTTAAAAACGAACTGTTTCCAGAACAGAATGATCAGTTTGTAAATGATTTACAAATCGCACAGTTCACGTTGTCACTTCTCAAAGCTGAGTAGTTTTCAACTTCCAAACTGTGGTGCCAACAGGGTTTCCGCTGGAAACCACTCAGCAAAGATTACAAGGTATTATCTCTGACACAAGAGCCCCATGAAATAGTGAATAATATTACTAGTAAACAACCTGAGTAGAAACCATTCTGACTGATCTGTAGTGTTTTGCCAGTCAGATCAATAGAGGTCTTTGCTCACAAATGGATTGGCTCAAATTGCCAGACTTGGCAACAATAAACAAGGAAGAAGCGGATGGAAAAAATGATATCAAAAAAGAGTAAATTGTGTTAGAATAAACAATCGGGAGATAATGGTTAGTACAAATATTCAAGCTTTAGAAGTTGTCAAAGAGTGATTATATTACGCTATGGTGACCCATTTTCAGCTGTTACGAAGTTAGTCCTCAACCATTATTTTTTTCAGCTTGGAGAACCCAACCACGTAGTCTATATCTCCCCAAACGAGTCAGACCAACAGTTAGAGACTTTATCTATAAGAACTATGTCTTCGTCTGATCACCGTGAACACTTTTCCAACCTAATCCAGCTACCCCTAGCATGACACGTCGAAGTAGCTGGTTGCTTGGCATGGGCAATACATGTCCAAGCCATCTCAGTCAATAAAGGTTCACAACATGAGTCAACTTGCCTGTCTTGTCTGGTACCCTTCACCTAGCCTAAACGTTGATCACATAGTGACTGGAACAAAGACGAAGGATGGTACGTAAACACCTGTGATCAAAAACAGTCAACTGTTTCTTCTCTTTCGATCCATGTGTCTCACAAACATATAGCAGGACAGAATGAACTGCAATGCACTCTGCTTGTCCATCAGTAGACAACCTGATGTCCACATTTACTGGTCAGTGCAGGACAGCCTGTTTTGAGTTGTCTAGTCTTGAGTGCAGACCAAATTATATCGATCACATTTGCAGTGTGGCAACCAAGCTAGGAGGTTCACAATCGCGGTGCATTTGGATGGATGTTAGTTGGTTGGAGGTAATGGGCAGGAAGCCCAGCACGACCTAAGCTACGAGACTATTGTCAATCGTAATCTAGTCCCACAGAGATCAAACGCAGTCTGAATACCTCAGCGGTAGCATCATTGAATGCAGCATTGAACTGGGCTTGTTCGAAAGAAAAAACATCAGTTTCTTTGCGGTTTCAGAGATGCCTAGTTGACGAGTGCCAAAAAGCACGAAGTCTAGGTTTAGCAGGGCTTCCTACTGATTGCCTCTAACCAACTAATAGTCGGACACCTCGCCGGTCCTACACATGACGTAAGTTGGCAAATACTAAACAGGCTTTCTACATCCAAGCTGGGATTTCCTGAATAGCCACCTAGTTTGAGCTGATACAAGTTCCCAAGTGAGCAAAGATGTCGATATATTTCACCGCTTCACTCTCTGTCATCAAACTAGCAGTAGTTGCGGCAGTATTTCTGTGGCATTATCTTACATTTGACGGGTACCTGACGCTTGCCAAAATTACCCAAGTGTTTGCTCAACGTGTTTATAGGACTCTTCATTGCGTCAGCGTCTCGACCTAGTAAGACAATATCTTCTGCATACCCCAAGTCAATCAGATACCCTTCAAGGAGTAGATAAATCCCTGTGATATCTGACGTACCTATGGTGACGTTAATTAGTACGTCTTTGACGAAACCGAATAGGAACAGTGACTGTGAACTCCAGTGGACCCCATTACCTGTCTTCAATTCTGATGAAAAATCTCCATGAACCCTGACACGACAGTGTGATTTTAGGTTGAGAGCTGGGTACTCCCTTCACAATCAAACACTGTCAATGGAGTCAAAAATCGCTTTTAGCTCAAGAAATAGGGCACGTAGCGGCTCAAAGTAGCTATACCTGTGTTTCAGAACCTATCGGAGGGTGAGGATATGATTGGCGCACTCTCGTTTGGGTCTGAAACCTGCCTGATTTTCTTGAGTTTGCTGTTCTCGAGCTCCACTTAGGTGTTGGATAACTATGGACAACAAAATCAATTCAATTCCCCCATGTTAGACGCAAAAAGCATCCTCTCCCTTCTTATGGAATGAGATTATCAGTGAAGTACACCACTGATGGTACTAGCTCTGATTTCCATATACTACCTAGTACTCCCGTCACTCTAAGTGAAAATTTCTTATCCCCTTCCTTGAAACCTTCCAGTGTCAAAATATCAGGTCCTTCTGCTTCGTATCTTTTGAGGTTGGATGCAGTGTTCTCAAATTTAAGGAGAGTTAGAGGATCAATGTATAAACCCCATCCAGGTTCAGGCTGGATGCTGGGCAAGTGAATCGTTGCTGAGTGCCAGTTGAACTGGGATTCGAAGTTTTCCGACCAACGTTCCAGACGCGTAGACTCAGAGGCTATCAGTGTTCCCATCCTTTTCGATGATGTTTTCACTCACCATCATTTTCCTCTTGCTCCTATGCTCAATAAGCCTAAATAATTGCTGACTGTTACCCAATCCTCATCTCCCTCCCATCTCTCTCACTCTCGTCATCCACTACTGCTCATGCTTATTGCGAAGACTCTTATTCAGTTTACTTTTAAGTTGCTTCCGCTCTTCATTGTGGTCATACCCAGTTGTAATTGGTCTTTTCGCACAAATCAGTCTGGATAATATCTTGGAAATCCGATGACGCTTGCTAACCTTCAGGAGTAGATTACCAATTGTTTTTACCCTGTTTCTACAATCAACCTAATATCATGCCAGGTTTCCTCAGAATGACCATCGCTGTCACATTCAGATGAGTGCTTAGCAGCACCAAGTAAAGATAAACTCATAATGGTTTCCTGTTGGGCTACCTAGTCTTGTGAACATAAGATATTGATCATTTGAGTTATTGACGTGATGGTATTCTATATTTATTAGTTAAAGTTCTCAATGTGTATTAAAGTTGACTAAACCAGGTATGAGATTCGCTTCATAACTTTCAGATACATTAAATTGGTGAATGCGAATATACACCTTAATGTAAAACGACATGAAACCTACTGCCTCCATCCAATAAAATAAAAATACTACCTAGGTTCATAAGGTAGTCTACGCTCAACTTAGTTTCAAACATTTAACTCATTCACAAAAAAGTAACACAACTAACGAAATGTAAACAAAAGTTGGGAGTTGTGAAGAGAACTGCTTCAAAATGGAGCCTTGACTGATTTCCACAAAGAATTTCTGTTCACAAAAATAATGTTCACGGAGTAAATCGAAAATGAGTAGATATTTATTTAGAGCCAAAGATATTAAGTTGTGTGAAAATAGAAATACTCATTTATTCGCATACTGCTCGAAAGAATAAAATACTGTACAGTTATAGAAGTTTATTCAAAGGAAATTGGCGAATATTTTGTATCCTTCGCCTCAACTATTTATTTTACCTGGACAATTAATACTGTTATGCACATCTGAAAGCCATTACGTCAACAACAGAGTATTTCAATAATAAACGTATAAATTAAACACAACGTTCTGCAACAGAGTCAGAAAAGGTAGAATCATAAGACTGATGCATAACAGGTTAAACTCACCAAATGTAAAGTGGCCGTATCCAAAAATGAAT